AAGGGAAACATCTAAGGAAGTTGCTTCTTCTGTTGGGGCATCTGCAAGGGAGGTCAAAATCTGAAAGATGGTGCTAGGGTGGCCATGCTGGCTGGGGAATTCTGGGAGTTGAAGTCCACACATCTTAAAGTTGCTGAGGTTGAGAAACACTGCCTTAAAGAGCCATTTGAATCAAGGTGGATTGAAGGCAATGGACGGAACTCATCATGACAACTCAGATGGGAGGAGGAACCATCTTGAATGCTCATCAGTTGGCATTTCTGTCCATTGCGGCTGAATGTCGGATCGAGATATGGGGAGGCAGGAGTATCCATGGGGAGGGTCAACAAAATCAAGATGGGGTTGATTGAAGCTGAAGCCCATCCCCTTTTTACACATATTGTGTCTGCAGGACACATTAAAAAGCGGGCAGAGGTTTGGTTGGACAGTCCCAGCAGCCGCCTTGACTTTTCTGACACATACTTACACGCCCTGTGGACATCCCTGTTAAGAGGCTGTCAAACCAGGGAAAGCTGGCTTAAGAGTTGCTCTCCTTCTGTTACTCTATTCGGCTTTAAGACCCTGTCCTGATAGACTCAGGGTTAGTTTATTCATCAAACAAACTATGGCTTAGCATTGCCCTGATGAGTTAAAGCTCCAGTATGGATGGGTTGGCTATGTACACACATGCTCACAAATGGCAGGAACCTTTCCTAAAAGTGGGCTGCCCCATAATCAGGGTGATGCGTATAAAAAACAGGTGGGCCTTGACTGCTGCCATCTTGACCTTTTTGACGATGCCCTGATGACACACCCCAGACAATTCAGTTGTCCTCTCTTCCTCCCAAGGTCTAGATGCCTCCCCTTCGGCCATGGGAATTGGGGGGTTCACCTTGATGGCCCTTGGCTGCTGGGGGCTCTTTAGGCCAAGAACCCCCCCCCCCAGGAAGGAGAGGATCTCTTTGCAATGAGGTCAAGCAGCCCAAAGGTTGGTCAGGTTCTCCAAGAAGGATTTGCATTGTCACTGGGACCCTGTAGCCGCGCCTGTCACCCGCTCCCTCCCGGCCCTCCTTCTGCGTCTTCACAGCTGGCTCCACCCCATATGCTAAGCCTTGGCTTGCTGATGATCCTTGGCTGGCTTGGTTCACACGGGTGCGCCACCCGTGGCTGCTTCGCACAATGCAGTAAAGCAAACCATTACCTTGACAAGCCACACACTTAGCCCGGTGGCGGAATGGACCCGTTTCTGGGCTTCGCGCTTGTATGACAAGCTCGGCCACGAATGACAAGACCCGAGGACCAGTCCAGCTGAGCTTCACGCTTTGTATGAACGCAGCACCCGGTGAACTGACCTGGTTAAGGACATTGTGCGCACATGGCTTGGCTCAGCTTGATGTCCAAACCTGGTCATTGTCCAGCGAGGGGGTTTTGCTGTTCCTTCTTCCCACAGGTCCGTTTGTGGCTCGACGAAGAAGGCGAGCCGGAGCTGCGTGCAGTGGGGCTGGCGGGGGGCAGCCTGGAGAGCACCGAAAAGTCCTACCGGCGGTTTAAGGAGTTCTTCAGGGAAGCCACGGTACGCTGGGGTGGGGAGTCAAAGCCTGCGCTGCCGGTATCCGACGTCCGTATTCTAGCATTTCAATTTTTGCCACTGCAATCCTTCATAAGCGAGTAACAGCAGTAGAGTTAAGTCTTCCCTGAATTTCAGCAGGAGAGATTTTTCGGGAAATGTAAGAGAAGGTGCTGGAGAAGGTTGTCCTGCATTTTGTTTCTGTTCTCCTGCTGGCCTTGGACGCCACCCTTCCTGCTGCTCGTCCTCCTTTCTTGGCAAATTCCTAATCATATGTGCTATTTCATATCTAATTTTTAAAACGTGGTTGGTGAGCTAGTTAGCTGGTTAGGAGCCATTGAGCTGGTGGATGGTGAGCTAGTTAGTGGGTTAGGGGCCATCAAGCTGGGCTTGTAGCCGTGGGGAATGCAAGGACAGATGCTCCCTGTCTTGACCACCTTATAGTCATAAACTCTTCCAGAGACAGTCCTTTGGTCCCTTTGATCCCATTCAGGGGTGTCTGCAGGTTGTGGTCAAAAAAGTCAAGATGGCGGCTGTGACAGCATGATCAAAGCTCCTGTTTAAAAAAATAAGATCATGTGTATTTATTTCAGCCAATGACAAATAGTATTAATACTAATATAAATATGAACGTTTAGAGTTTTGCGGCGATTCACAATTATTTTTCAAGATACAAATTTAATTTTACATATTCAAATGATCTAATTATTGAAATAACGAAGCAATGAATTTTAAATTTTGACAATTGTAAATTCTGTTTATCTACTGATGCTTTATTTTCCATCTACTATGTCTTTTCCCATTTCTTCTTTTTTTCTTTTGAGCTGTCATTTATTTTATTCTTCAAATGTTTTTAAATCTTTTTTTAAAAGGAGAAGGGAGAAGGGAGAAGGAGGAGGAGAAGCAGCAGCAGCAGCAGCAGCAGTGTGCATTGCAACACCCATAAAAACCAGGCGGAGCTTCAATCACATTGTCACAGCCGCCATCTTGACTTTTTTGACCACTCATCTACTTTGTCTAACGTCTTCCTCTTCGCAAACTTCCCTCAACCTTGCCAGGCGCAGTTTTTTCTGCTCCATCATCTGCTCACGTCACATGCCCAACTACGTGAGTTTCAGCTTCAGGAGGACCAGCAGCATTTACTGAGTCTGCTGCAGTCCAGGAAGCCCTTAATAACGGCCTCCTCCCTCCTTCTCAGCTCCTGCCCATCTTCACCTGCTGCTAACTCCAAGAAAACAGAACGACCGACCGCTGCTGATGGGCCTCGTCGTTGTCTCCTTTATATTTAACTGCATTTAACTTTAACCTGGATTTTTCAGTTTCCATTTTCACTTCCATAACGAGCGCTTCTGAACCTCATTGCCCAAGGCATTCATTTCCCATTTTTCTTCGGCTAACATGATAGCTTGTTCTGAAAGGCGCTTAGATCTTTTCCACTTTGAAATTTGGGGGATGTTTTTTCTGCTTCGAAAAAAGTCTGCTCTGCAAGGTCTCTTATCTCTTCCCACAGTGTCTCAATTCTCCTCCGCAGAGCCAAGCGTACCAACTCTGTTCCTTCCACCGATCTTAAATTCTGACTGAAGTTCCTCCAAATCAAATCCGCCTGACACATCTAAGCTCTTTAATTTTTCTGAGTTTAACCTGCATACTTGATCATAATCATTCACAGTCTTCTCCACAGTCTGCACCTGGAAGTGTCCTGCTTGCTTGGGTTGCATTTCTCCAAATTTCCCATTGTGAGTCAACGTGATGTTCAAATGGTGTATCCAGCCATGTCCAGGTGCAGGGTCTCCATTTAACAGTTCCTTCCAATTTTTTCCCCTCCAACTCGCAATCCCAAAGTCACCTAAGCAAATCCATAAATCCAGTTCATTCCATCACTCTCTGCATTTATGGTCTTGGGCTTCCTGGATTAATATGAATCCTGAGCTGCTGCGCAATATCCTAGCCGGGTTAGCATAGTCAGGGCAGGACTGAGGCTATCAAGCTTTGCCTGAAAGTTAACCAATAGAACACCTACCCTGACATTTTCATTTGGCAGGGCTCGCTCAAGGCCAGGACTCAGTGTGGTGAAGCAGGGAAGGTGTTGGACGAAGTTGTGGGAGATCTGGGATCAAGCCCATCCTCAGCTATAGAAGCTCCTGGGTGACGTGGACCAATGACTCTCTCTCTCAGCCTGCAGGATTGCTCTTGTGGGAAAAGGCTGAAGGAGGGACTGCTATGTCCACTCTGGGGAGTTCTGGAAAAATGGTAGAATATAACTGATGAATAAATCCATAAATAATACATAGAGAGCAAAGTAGAACGCACCGGTCATGCTTCTTCTCTGAACCCATAGAGTTTAGGTTTCTCTGATCTGTGGTGGTTACTGGCCTCCAAACTGTAAGATAGCATCGACTTCTTAATTTAGGAGAGCCTGGTACATTGGACCAAAGGTCCGTTAGCTTAGCATTGTTGCTCCAGCAGGGGCCTGGGAACGATCTCTGAGCATCACTCAGAGTCAATACTCACCTGCCCAAGATCTCCTGTTGTGCTCTGAATGTGGAAGTCCCATTCATGGATCGCAGTCCTGTTTTGTCACTGGGCGTAATAAATGAAGTTGTACGTGGCAAGCAATGGTTTGCCTTCTTTCTCCCTTAGGTGCACTACAACCGGGGCCTCTCTTTATCCAAGGAAGCTGCCAAGATCCAAGGGTTCAAGTTTCCTGAGATGGGGGCCTTTGAGGCAGCAAAGGGAGCTTTCCAAGCTAAGCTAACCATGTTCTACATGGACATGGAGATGAAAGGGGCGGAGCTGGAGACTTTCCTAGACCTCTACAGATTCTGTGACAAGGTGAGCTCAGAAAGGGCCCCAGTAAAATAGAAGGGAAGAGATGCAAAGAAAGTGGGAGAAGAGCTGGGAGCCCTTGGGCTCGGGGAGGTTGTCAATGAAGTTGCATTAGCAGGAACAGGAGGTTGTCCTTCTTAGCTGCCAAAACAATTATCTGGGCACACTGGGGAAAAGGAAATGAAGGATTAAGGTGCTCTTCTTCTGCCAGCTTGTGTATTATTCTGTCCATGATGGGCTATGTCTACTGGTTTCCTGGTTGGGGGCACTGTTGACCTTAACAGATAGGATCTATTCTCCTCCCACCCAAGTTTAGCACTAGTTGATTCACAAATGCAAGATTATAGGAAGAGCTTATGTGTTGTTCTCAGATTTCTGGGCTAGAGAGACCCACTTTGGCTTCCATGCCTCCCCAGAGGTCTTCTAAATTCTTACAGAAACAAGTAGTGTGGGATAGAGACAGAGAGGAATTGAAAGTCTCACAGTCATTGACTCCTAGGGAGATACTTTGGATTTGAAGTCTGAGATAAATGTGCCTAAATAGAATAGAGAAGGAAAACTCACCTTTCCCATAGAGTGAAAACCAAAAAGGAAGTCTTTGATGGAGTCAATAACAAATATTGACCTCTGTCTTTTCAAGGTCACTGAATTTAACCTTGACTGCAAGCAACATCTGTCCCTTTGGAAGGCCAGGGAGAAAGAACCCAACATTGTGGAGGTCCAACAAGGCACAGAAGATGCTCTCCGGCGAATGTCCAAGGATTTTTCAGCAGAGAAGTTCCAGCAGATGAAGATCCAAGCTTCCAGCATGCACAGTGAAAAGGGCCACTTGATCTGGACTGAAGCTCTGGAAAGAAGTGAAGAAGCCAAGCAAATTCTAGAAAACATGCTGATCAGATTCAAGGAGGCCAAGGGAATAACTGCAAGAGACAGTGGGGAGGAGAGCAGCCCTTTAGCCCATAACCCATCTTCCCCAATCCCAGCTGATGCCCCTGATGCTGGTGAAACATTGGAGAAAACCAGGAATCCACAGCCATTATCCAAAGAAACGGTGGACAGAATTGTTTATGCTGACCCTCCCTCCCAAAAGGATTCCTCATGCATCAGTTCAGGCATGGGTGTGACAGGTGACAAGAAAGCTTATCTTGCTTCTCCAGGTGCCATCTTGGAACCTGGAGGGCTTGACAGCCAGGATCTGGGTGAAGAGGCCTTAGGAAGGCTTCATGCAACCTCCCAGGATTCTCCTCCATTGTGTGGTTCTTCTGCTTCTTCTTCCAAGGCAAAGCCGATGCCAAGAACCTGTGAGACTTTGCCTCCCACTTGCCAGCCTTGTGCTCCTGTGCTGGTGAGGGGCCAACGGCCTCAGAAGAGAGAAAGAGCCCAGTACTTCCAGCTCTCCAGACATGGGAGCTTTTCTTCAGAAGATGCTGATTCTCAGAACTCATCAGAAGATGCCCTGGATTCCAGTAGCACGTGGTCCATGGAACTGCCGGGCCTCAAAGGAGGTGGGGCTCAGGAAAAGGGTCTGGGGATCCTCTACTTGGAGAACCATAGTCCAAGCAGTGGCTCCAGCCCTGCTGCTACCCAGTGAAACCAGGGGCTTGAGGTGCTGGGGGTCTGGATTATCTCCAGGTCTTCTTCTAGCAGACTGATCTGGTGCTGAAAACATTTCTGGTCTTTTGGTGCTCCATTATCCCCCATGTATTTTTCCAAAAAGCCCATTCTGTTACTTCTCATATTACTGGTGCAAAACTCTTGAACTCGCAGCCTTTGAAATAAAAGGCTGGCTTTGGGGAAGAAGAGTCCCTCTTCGCTTCAAGGCATGAGCGGAAAAGGGAGAGATTTGGCTCATCCTAGTTGACAGGAGCCAACCTGAAGGAAACAGTTGGTGCCCTGCAATAAGGGACGGGCACTGAGGAATCGGAGAAAAGAGGGCAAGTCTTGGCAGGATCAGCCTCCAATAAACACCCACCCAAAGCCTGAGTTCCTGCTGGTGCATCCCAGAGCAGAAGTTTGCATGTCAAGAGCCTCCAGCAAATCGGAAAACAGCCCAAGAGGTCTCCTGGCCCCTCCTGTTCTTGAGGAGTTCCACCTGCCCACCCATCCTCTGTTCTCCTGTGACACTGTAGACACGGCTGCTCCCAGTTCAAGTCAACAAACCACACGGCTTTACCCCTTGGCACTTTGCCCCTTCTCAACTTCCTTGCCGGGAAAATCAACTGAATCATATTAAGAGCCAGTGGTCACAATCCAACCAAGACTTGTTGCAGATCAACCGTCCCTTTTAAAGCAATAGGATTTACACTGATCCATCGGTTACAGTGAGACTTGGTCACAATTCATTCTTGCTTGACTTGGGGCCAAGGTTTCTTAATACTTAAACAAGTTGCATTTCCCAGGGTGGCTTAAAATATAATCTTGATGGCACATATGAAAACAGTGCTAGAATCTGGGGAGAAAAAGCACAACTCTGAAACTCGCCAGGTGACTTAAGGTAACTCTTTCAGACTCACCTACCTCACGGGGTGGAGCATAGAAAAAGTGGAGAATCTTACATATCTCAGTAACTTTGCACTCCGTGGAGAAATGCAGAATGAAATGCAATGGGGAGGGGGGGAATCACTGCAAAAAAAAGAACAAGTGTTTATAATCTCATACTTTTTTATATTTTTTGCAAAAAAAAAAAGCTCTACTTGGTTCACAAATGTGTTTGGAAGTGTATCTTGTCCGTCTGTGATGTGTGTTCTTGAGCACATAGTTCTGCTTCTAGTTTGCAATGCCCCTTCCCTTGGGTCAGGAACAGGGGAGTGACCCCTACTGTAAGCCGCCTAGAGTCCCCCTCTGGGGGAGATGGGCAGCATATAAGTTTAATAAATAAATAAATAAGCAAGCCTCGGGGGGGGCGAGGTCATCTCCCCTTCTGCACTACCCCGTCATGCGGTTATTGAAATTGGGTGGAAAAGTCTTTCCCCTTTCTCCTCTTTGGAGAAGGCGAGCAAGGTGGGGTTGCTCTCTGATGAATCCCTACAGTGGATCTCTCCACTTTGGGGCTCCCCACTGTGGGTCCCATCGTGTCATCTCAAGGCTGGAGGCTTTGAGTGGAGAAGCTTAAACTGAAGCTTAACTGAGCACTAGTATCTATGGGATCGGGGAACACGCACCGCGGGCTTTGCACTTTCCACCCACTGGCCTGCTTTCACAAACACTGCCAAAGGAGGTTGTCATCATCTCACTCGGTGAACCAAATGCACGGTGGTGTGATTGCACCTCTGCTGATGCCGCTTGGAATTTCTAAACCGGACACCCTGAAGCAATCCTGTGTTCCATCCCATAATGGCTGAGGATTTGCTTTCTGTGTCACTGTTGCTGACGTTTGACCGAGCAAACTTACCCTCCGCCTGACAGAAGCAAAACCATTCGCTCGCAATAGCAACAATGGAAACACATTACAGGTGGCAGCAGCCAACCCACAGCTGCGATGGCCACATCCTGGTTAGGCTGTGGGTCGTTACCAGATGCAAGCTAAGAATTTTAATTTCAGGCTCAGAAGATCAGCCTGCCTTGATTTAGATTTTGGCCCTCTCCAGAAAGAGTGAGCAGAAGAGGAGCTCATCTTTAGAAAGCACCCTTCCCTGCTTTTTAATGTTTTCTCTGCGTGATTCTAAAATGTCCATATCTGGGTGCACACGCATGGATAGACACCACTGCAGAGCAGCTCTGGCAGTGGAGGACAAGAGCCACCCATTGCCGTAAGTGTTGACTGTGTTTTCCTCCCTTACAATTTCCGAACTCCCCCCTCTCCTTCCAAAATTAATGTCATAGTTCTTAGAGGCCAGACCACGCAACTAGGAAACAGTAGGAAGCCATTGAGGTGTATCTCTGGTAGTTCCTGGCGGTGGATCAGCTACCCCCTGAGTGCAAACTAAACAGCAGATATGCAAAGGGTTCTTTCCTGCAACACCGATGCCCTGCACCAAGTCCCTGAGACCCAGGGCCTCTTCTAGCCAGCCTGAAAGCCCTTCAGGATCACCTCTGTCCCAGTAAGGACTGGGAATTTGCATCGAGCTTGGGATTCGCCCTCCCCACTCACACTTGTAGAAGGAAATCCCTGAATCTGGAAGATCGAGGAAGAACATGGAGGCATGAAGGCCCAGGCATGAGTGACCCTATTAGTAAGACCCCAGAGGTATTAAATTGCACGTGTGGCACAAAGGTTTGGTCAGGATGTGCCTCAACCTGCCCTTTTCATGGTTTGGGGCATGTGAATTCCTTGGCAAGTGGCTTAACCCCCTCTCTTAATCTAAAAGAGATTACACCCCCCAGAGTCATCTTGTGTGAGATGGGCGGCTATATAAACATGACAAACCAATAAATAAATAAAATAAAAGGGTATAGCAAGTAGGCCAAGGGGTAAAAAGGCAGATAGCCTGCCTTAAGCACATGAGAAGTGTCTCAGGGGCATTGATGTCAGGCCCAGCCCAAGAACAACAGGGCAACAGTCTAACAGAGTTCAGTTCCTTTATTGCTTACACCATATAGACAAAACCTTGCCAGACTGAATCGATACTAAGCTGACCTAATGGATACACCCTGGGAGATCCTAGGGAGTGGCTATTCTAAACCTCTTACACTTCCCACGCTCCTGCTCCGGACTGTGTTGTCTCTTGTCTCAATAGAGGCGGATACCCAAGGACCCCAAGGACTCCACTGTCTCTTGTCTCTCTGCCCTTCTTGGAATGCACCCCCTCCTCCCCGATAGCCTTGCTCTCTCCTGCAACCCACCACAATTGGTGGGACTTTAGGGTTTCTCTCCCCCAAGACTAGTCAAAAGAAACTTTGGCCACCGCCTCCTTCTCCATCACGGGAATATCTCCCTTCTGCAGCCAGACCGATCTGTCTCCATCTCTGTGGCTTCGGCAGATAACAGGAACTGCTGCCGCTTTGACTGATGCTAACGACCAGCTCCTTGTTGCGACGATTGATGAACCCAAATTAATTATTCTGGCCTTTGAATGGAGCCTTCAGGACGAGCAGCAGACAGGATGGCACCGTGTCAGTGGAGGATGGAAGCAGCGCCTCCCGCCACCTTCCCTAACAAAGGAGAGCCGGTTGGGGTTTTGGGGAGGGGGCAGCAGCTTCTCCCACCCCCACCCCTGAGGGTGCCTTTCTGACAGATGGGCAGTCACAGTTTAAAAGCAATTTCACACAGAAGTGATTTTGTGGGGATAATCATCCCACCGGCCCCATTTTTTAAATTAATTCACTGGGGACTCATTAATTCTCCCCCAAATGTTTATTCTGTCATTACTATTCATAGAGTCAAAGAGTCATTTCTGCATTGCTTCCGCTCATCCACCCATCCCGGAAATTTCGTACGCTCTTGAACCTTGTCAACATGGTGGAAAATTAGGGGCGCCTCTTTCCCATCGTGGCTTATTTCCTCAGGGAAGGGAAGGGAAGACGAGGAAAGGCAAGGCCCACGCTTGGGTGGTCCAGAGTGGGGAAAAAGCAGCGGGAGGAAGCATGTCAATGGAGGGGGCTGACCCCAGTCTTCCCCAACCTGGTGCCCTCCAGGTGACTCCCAGAATTCTCAGTCCGCTCCCCTCACTGTCGGGCAGGTTTAGGTTATACGGAGGGCTATGGGGACAAACATGTGGATGATATTTCCAGAATTTAAAATCTCAGTTGAGCTTTGTCTCTAACTTGAATCAAAACTTTAGGGCTGTTGGTAGGAGACAGCAGCAGCAGCAGCCAAAAAATGAAACTGCAATTGTGCAATCCGAGGCGCAAAAGGGTGGTGCATTGATCAACAGGATGTGGCTGCTGTCTTGACTTTTTTGACTCCCTCTCCCCCAAAGATTAAGGAAACGAGGATTGAGAGGAGGTCTGGAGTGAGCAGATTTTTGGCAAACAGGAGGAAAGGCCCTCATAATTGCTCCTGGCCACACCCTGTGACGTTATTCAAAGTGTGTAAAACAGTGCTTCTCAACCTTGGGAACTTTAAGATGTGTGGACTTCAACTC